CAGCCAGTCGTCCCCCAGAGGGCCCCGGCCCGTCTTGGCTGAGTGGTAGAGCTTGGGGTCCTCCTCAGGCTTGTATTCCCCAGGCGAGATGGCGTCACGCACGATGTCGATGGTGTCTGTGGGGAGAGCAGCACTCATCACCCCATGGTGCTCAGCAAGGGGACGCGGGCAGGTGGGAGAAAAGCAGGGAAGAATGCGCAAAAATCAGAGGGGGCACCCAACAAATTATTTCCTCAAGCCACAAACCCAACAGCCAGTAGCAAGCACTCTCTAACAAACCCAACAGCCAGTAGCAAACACTCTCTATCCTGCAGTTATAACATCAAAGGCACCCCTGGGTGCACCCAAACACATCCCATCCCTGCACGGGGGCCTGAGCCAGCACCCCACAGAGTGGCGCAGCGTGGCAGCGAGAGGCGCCGGGGGCAGTGGGGGGAGGCGCGGAGGCGGCGAGGCGTGCGAGGAGCCGGGGCTGACACACATACGCGCATTAGCCAGGAGATTTGGCAGCTGGGAGAGCGGCCCCAGCGACCCCGAGGGACGTGGGGGTTGGTGCCGAGGACAGCCGGCTCGAGAAGCTCGGCGCAGTGGTGAGCCTCGCCAGCTGCCTCCCGCCCCAGACCCCAGGGTCCCCCAATAACAGGGTACAGAGGACAGCAAAACCGCCACACGACCCAGGAAGAGCCCCCGTCGAGCCGGGGGGTGCGATGGCAGCATCCCCCTCTCCCCAAACAGGGGTAGCCTCCCCAAAATTGGAGGGGGGCTCTCAGATGGCACCCAGGATCTAACATGATCTAACAGACCCTGTGGGGGCTGTTCAGGCCCAACCCTGCACAAAGTCTCCTGCAGTCTGGCTGCTCCAGTCCAGCTCCCTCCAGCCCAGTCTTGGGGGGCCCTGTGGGGGTCCCAGTGCATCCCAGTGGCCCCCAGGACCTTTCTACAGAGCTGTCTCCAGTCAGTCCCCCCAGCCTGTGCCAGACCTCCCATTTATATGCCCCCGTTGATGCCCCTGAGGTGCTCACTGGCCTGTTCCTCCAGCTCGGGCAAAAAAAAAAAAATGGGGAAAAAAGGACTTTTAAGACTGAGAAAGCAAGGGAGAGTTGCAGGGCAGGTACTCTGAAGCAGGGCTTTTCCCATGCTGGGTAGCTGAAATGGAAAGGGCTGCAACCCCTCCAAACCTCCCCAACTTGCAAAACACACCATGGGGTGGCAAAGCAACACCTGCTGCATCCAAATCATGCGGCAAACACAAGCACTTAAATTAAAGCCCCATGGGCTGGCCGAGCAGCTCGGATGGCGGCACACCATGAGGAGCCGGGACAGGAGCTGCCAGCCCCAAACAGCTGCCAGCAGCATCACTGGTGTGACGACCAGTGGGTCGGTCTGCTTTTACCGCTGCGAGAAAACTGGCGAGGCGGCAGTTATCCCTGCGGTTCACCCCGACAGTGCAGACCGCGTTACTCTGCTGCCCTTTGAAACGTGAGATCGGGTTTAAATCTGGAAGTGCTATGGGACACCAAGGTGAGAGCGAGAGCTGGCAAAGAAGATCCCAGCGGGGTCGATGTCAGGGCCAGTCCCGCGCTGGCCCCGCTTCTCATGGGAGGCAACAGCCACCCGAAACGCAGCGTGCCCTGTGGAAATCCCATGGGACACGCACCAGGGGGAAAATCAGGCAGGGCAGCAGGCAGCGGGCACAGGGCTGTGCTCTCCCTGCTGTCCTCTCGGCCCCAGTCACTGCCCGGCGGTGACAGGGGCAAAATTCGTCTCCCCTGGCCCAAGCCACCAGCATCCGGGCCGGACATCCCTGGTGCCGCAAGAGCCAATGAGAGAAATAGGTCAGATGAATCATTTCCTCCGAGTGCCTATTTTAGGCCTCCATTTTAAGAGACAGCGCGTCACGCTCTGCACTCCGGTGCCTAAAACGACCAGATCGACACCGCTGGGAAAGGGAGGCTGCAGCAACTGGAGCCAAACCCACCGGCCAGGGAGGAATCCCACCCTGGGCTCC